TGGATTTTATATAAAAACCAGTGACTGGACTGAGAAGCTGCTCCAAAGCACTTCTCAAAGCCAAACTTGCACCCCCAAAAAAGTCATGATCACTGTTTCATGATCTGTTGCTCATCGAATCCACTACAGCTTTCTGAAACCATTACATCTGAAAAGTATACTCATCAAATCAATGACAAGCACCAAAAACAGCAATGCCTGCAGCCGGCATCGTCAATAGAAAGGGTACAATTCTTTTTCATGACAACGCCCGACTGTACCTCACACAACCAACGCTTCAAAAGGTGAATGAATTGGGCTACAAAGTTTTGCCTCATCCGCCATATTCACCCGATCTCTCGCCAACTGATTACCACTTCTTCAAGCATCTCGACAACTTTTTGCACGGAAAGCACTTCCACAATCAGTAGGAGGCAGAAAATGCTTTCCAAAAGCTCATCAAAACCCTAAGTATGGATTTTTACAATACAGGAATAAACTTATTCCTCACTGGCAAAAATGTGTTGATTGTAATGGTTTGTATTTTTATTAATAGACATGTGTTTGAGCCTAGTTACGATGATTTCAATTTCATGGCCCAAAACCACAATCACTTTTGTACCCACCTAATAACTGTAGTTTACTAAGATCCAGAAAGAAGTACCTCCTGCATGTATTTGTTGAGAATGAGGAATACCCAGGAGAAGGCTTTGTCTAGTTCAACTTAGGACAAATAGTCTGGTCAGAGTAGGAGAAACTTTGGAAAGGATGCCATAGCCTCTAGGGTGATGAAAGTCTGACTATCTGAATGCAGAAATATTGAAACAAGTACTCCAAACTGGCTGCTACTGAGCTCTACTGCCTATCTCTAAACCCACCAACAGCTGAGGAAAAAGATGTAACTCAAGTCTTGATAATATACTACAATAAGAGATCTGGTAATAAAAAAAAAATCTGAAGTCTTAAATAGACTGGTCTTTGATACAGGGGTTTTCTACTGATACAGGATTTAATTATCCCCCACAGCAAAAAACAATCCTGAAAACAGTCTATAATTCTAGCCCTAGGTAAGAAATGGGGGTACTTTTTGTGGATCTCCCGTAATTATGATGTTGGCTTACAGCCAAAAGAAGGAAATGCTTTTGAAACATTAATGGAGGGCTTCAATACCACCACTTCGGGAAAGGGTATCAGTGGTGATCACAAGAGCTATTCCATCTTGGCGGCTGAAAGTAAAAGTGTCAGTTGCTCACTGTGTCTGACTCTGTACAACCCCATGGACTGTAGCCTGCCAGACTCCTCTGTCCATGGAATTTTCCAGGCAAGGATACTGGAGTGGGTTGCCATTTCCTTCTCCAGGGGATCTTCCCGACCCAGGGATCAAACCCGGGTCTCCCGCATTGCAGGCGGATTCTTTACCATCTGAGCCACCAGGGAAGCCCCTTGGCAGCTGAGTTATTAACATCTTCAATTGGAGGAATCATTTCACTTTCTTATACAAGTCAGATTCTGATCTACCAGTCCAACTGCCTTTCCTATACAGAAATCCTTTCCACATCTCTCAAAGGTGCCAATTTAACCACTGTTCGGAGACTCCCAGCCAACCCCACAGTTAAGTAGATTGTTAAAGGCAGTCTGACTCCTTGTAACCTTTCACCTACTAGCCCCTAGCTTTGACTGCAAAGGCCACACAAGTCATAGCCTCTCACTCTGTCTACTTGACTTCTCCGACATATGTGGATAGCAACACTGTTTAGCCTTAGCCTTCTTTTCCCTCTAGAATAAGCAGGTTTCCTATCAGTTGTTTGTATAAGAAATTCCAGGTGCTCTAGTTCACACCTGGTGTGGGGGAGTGGGAAGCTTTCTTATATGCAAATCATATACACAATTTATACATAAATGAATGTAGCAACTGAGGTCTGATTAGCCCAAAGTACATGGCTGAGTAGCATACTATAAATACAGAAAAATAACATACTAAGTACAAATGTTACTTTAATTAGAACTTTAACAATGCAAGTTCTTTTTCAACTTGTCTTCTCCAACTACAAGTATATACATACATATATATCATCTCTTTCCACCATCTCTATACCTGAATTCCTTGAACTGAATGTTATTTTAATTTTTTTTTCCAGTGAACAGTTCTCTGCATATCTTAAAGAATATTTAAGATTCTCAGGTCAGAGAATTCTATTCTCCTGTTCTAAGATTCTTGAGAATGCTGTGTATTTCTTTCTTTGGCTATGATGGACAGTAAGATGACCTTCTGCCAAAGATTCTGGCCCTCTTCATTTTTTCAGAACCAAGTTCAGAAAAGCAATCTCCTTTACTGAAACCTGCTTGTTTTCTAGGGGATTATACTGTCAAGAATTTCAGATGTTATTGCTTTTAGCAAAATTAGAGCTGCAGCTTTCCTACCACCAACTTGCCTCTGCAAGTTTTGTAATGTGTCACAAAAAACTCATTCACACCCTCTGTGTGTGTGTTGGGGGGAGGGGATAGGTAAGGGACTGGTGGCAGGGGGATTGAAGAGGAAACTTCTGACAAGCAGTGACTTCTTGAGGCATACTTATTTAAGAAATGGAATCTAGTCTGAAAATAGAAAAGTTACTGTTCATCTGATTATTTTTTCCATTTGACACAAGAACTTAACTCCTTTAGGGCTAGCAACTATTGTTTAACTGAACTAAATATTTTAGATGAAAAGACAGACCAAATTCTCTAAACTGTTCTATCATGATTCATTTTCCTTTGCACCGATCTTTCATTCCTGTTCCTTGGAATTGAAACAAAAAGACAAAATCATACCTACCCACCTTCCATAAAATGTCCAAGTTTTAACTGGCTTAAAAAAAAATGTTCTCCTACAGCTTACCCTACAATGTACAAACACATGACACTGGTCAGGCAGTTACATAATCCCACCTATACTGAACTTCCAATGACATGCTTACGTGTATATTAACATAACTAATAACTCACTACCTACAAAGAGTTTATAAAATATATTCTCCACATATTAAGAAAAAATGCAAAAAAAAAAAAAGAAAAAATGCAGCTGGATGCATTTATTTAAAAATTTGAGCAAGAAGGTTCTCTCTCATTAATCTTAAGTAATAATTCAGATCAAATTTACAGTTAATTAAAGATTCTTATACACCTGGGTTTAAATGCAGAGCTTTAAAACTCTGGTTTAATATAGACAATTAGTAATTTTTATTACTTTCTTTCATACTTCAAATTCTTAATCTTATAACCTGTACCTGATAATGTGGGTAAATTTTGAGGGGTAACTTGTCCCTAAAATAAATTTCCCATTTCAGTTTGAACAAACCACAAAGTTTTCCACTTCAGTTTGGTAAAAAGTGCTTTGGTGTTGGGATAGAGCTCAGGGTGGGATGGTTGAGAGGAACAAGGTCAATAGGAAGCTAATTCATAACCTTAAGTCTCTAAATATTACTATTTTCAGATATGAACTCATTAATGCAACAAATTCTTGAAAGGTAGCAACTAAGATCTTCTTTGGTTATTTTTATCCCACAGATCAAGCAAACAGAATCTGAGTAACACTACCCTTTGGATTATGTATCAGTCGGTTATGACAGTTTCCCAAATCAGTTGCTTAAATGTTGACTACATGGACAAGCAGGACAATTCAAGTTAGAGACAGCGCGGTGATCATCAAAATTTTAGGCAAAACTAGCTAAACGTAAGATTAGACTTTAGTATTCTTCTCTTCCCGTTCCACTGCCCACAGGCTGTTTCTAGTTCTCCCACCAATGGTCCTCAAAACCTTCTCCCTTAAAAAGCTCCTCAATGGGAACCCAACAAATTTGTAATTGATGGAGAAAGCATACTTCCCAGTAGTATTTACATTCTAAATCAGGTACAGGTTAAGACAAACACATTTCCCACTGAAAGTGTAAAAGCAATGCTTGTGAACAAGGAAATCTTTCTTATATTTCTCGGCTCATCATTCCAGAGTGCTTTAAAAAATACACTTCTGCTTTTCCAAGAAAAATATTTTAAATAATCATGTAATACACGACATGAAAAACCAGCATTATTGAAAATAGGAGAATCTATTCCCAATTCCAAGTCACACATGGCTCACTTGACGACAGACATAATCACAATCCTTCTTCCAAGAGAAAAGTATAAATGCTTCATAGAAATAAGCTGTGTCCCGTCTCTAGTTTTTATATTCCTAAATTTAATATACACATGTCATAAGATGAACCTAGTAAACATATAAAAAAATATGTATTGTAAGTGTGTATGTGTGTAATTCAAACGATCTAAATCTCAGGATGACGCGAGGTTACTTCCAATTTAAAATCTAGACCCAAGTTAGAGTCCCCGCACCATCTCTGCTGGCATTATACTACTCTCCACCCCAACTTATGTCTGGCAGAGACTACTCGCACGCATCCCGCACCCAGCCTAAGTCAGACCTCAGCTCTCCCAAACTTGATTATTTCCAGTTCCAGTCTCCAGAAACTTCCCAATGACTGCTACCCACGTAAACCCATTAACGCTAATGTGTCAATGGATCATTAAGCTGATCCTCCTAAACTACATCCCTGCACATTACGAAAGCCTTAAGAACGTAACACAAAGGATTTTTAAGAGTTATAGTGGAAAGTGCAAGAAAGATAGGTTTGGGAGATAACTGGCCTTTAAAAATCACAAGGTCCACTTCGTCCCCTACTCTTTCTAGCCTGTCGAGGCCTTTTAGGGTAGTAAGACCGGAAGTGGGTACAGGTATTGTCGAAACAAAACAAAGCAAAAAAAACCCCACAACAACTTCTTCCAGTGACTGTGGCACATTCACCCCCTAAACCCTAGGGGTCTCCTCACCTCCCATTCGACAACATCAAGAGAACCGGGACCGGAATCCCAGGGAGAAAGGCCGGGGAGGGCGGGGGGAGAGGAGCACTGTGTCTGGTTTGGGGCCTGCGAACCCGGGTACGCCGGTGGGGTCTGGGGCGAGGGAAGGCGGCGCTGGCCTCGCTTACCTGCGGCGAAGTGGAGCGGAGTGGACTTCCTGCCCGCCGTGTCGCGGCTGTTCACCTTCTCGGGCGTCACCAGCCTCTTAACTCGCTCCACGTCCCCGTTGCGGCAAGCCTCGAACAGCTCGCGAGCTGCCGGCTCCACGGCCTCGGCCGCCGCGCCCGCGCAGGCCGCGCCCCCGCCGGCGCAGCGGCGGCCTGACATTATTCTGGCCGCCGCCGCCGCCAGCAGCAGCGCCAGCAACGGCAGCAGGAGCCCCGGCCCCGCGAGCAGGAGGGCGAGGCCCCCCGGAGGAGACGCGCTCAGGGCCCGGGCCGCTCGGCTCCCTGCTGTCACCGGGCTCGGCGCAGTCCCATGGCCGCGCCACTTCGCGTCCCTCGATCGGCCTCGCGACCTCCGGCTGCCCCGCCGCGGCGGAGGCACCGAGAACCCGCCGTTCGAGCTCAGAAGCGACGCGGCGGCGGAAGCTGGCAAGGCCCCTCCTGCCAGCTCCGCTGAGCCCTGGGAGCGCACGTGACGTCGCTCCGCGCGTGCGCGGTGGCAGAAGGCAGGTCGGACAGGTTTCGGCCAGCGGGCCGCGCGGAGGGGTTTGTGGGAAATGTGAGACGAGAGCCTCTGGCCGCGGGTGGAGTAGGGGCTTCGTCCCACCGCCATCTTTGTGGTGGGTTTTGCTGAAGTTGTATTTTTTGCTTATTGTCTTTATAAAAAAATGGATTTCTTAATCTGAATTTCTTTATTGCACACAAAGGAACCTTTGAAAGTTACCCCCCAGTTTTGGATGTTATTTTGGACTTCTTACTGTACACATTTTCCATATTTTCAGCTTCCACAACCCCTTTCTCCTGGGGGTTTCTCCCTGGCACTGTCTCTTCCCTTCCCCGCAACTGCTGTTTTGGTTTTTGTGAGCCACTGATCAGAAATGAATGAGTTGCTTGATGGGAAGTTTGGATGAGCTGCCCCAGGATAATGTAAAGAAAATTAGGAAATCATTGAAAATTTGTTCCAATTTTAAATTAATGATTGAGAGGTATGGCTTAGATGAATTACTCTTTCCATAGTTAATAGTTTAGGACTAAAGGACCCATCATGAGTGTATATTATGCTGACGTGGCTGAAGTGGGGATATACTGGGTATACACATCACTGACAAAGTTTAATGAATTGCGATTTCTTTTCTTCTCACGCCTAAGGTAGTGATACAGCTGTTCATGATCATTCCCTATCCTATGCCCTGGTCTTAAGAAACTTTAAAACTATGGTCACATACATGTGGAAAAGACCCTGACGTTGGGAAAAATTGAAACAAAAGGATAAGGTGGCGCAGAAGATGTGATGGTTAGATAGCATCACCAACTCAATGGACATGAGTTTGAGCAAACTCCAGGAAATAGTGGAGGACAGAGGAGCCTGTCATGCTGCAGTCGTGGGGTTGCAAAGATTTGGACAGGGCTTAGCAACTGAACAACAAATGTTACCTAAACCGGTACATGTGACCCTTGGCATGCAGACAAGCATCTCCCTGCCCGCCCGTGCCCTGTTGTCTTAACTTCTTAAGCTGTTTTTTGTTGTTGTTGCAAATTCAGTGTTTGTTTGTTTGGGAACATCAACTCACTATTGTGCTAAAAGGTAGAGGATTTACATGGATGGGGGCATTTTATAAATGTATAAGTTACATAATTATATGTGCACATGATAAGTACAGATTTAAATTATGTTGCATAATAATAAGTATCTGTGAATCCACTTAAAGAACTGGTACACCACCAGTGGTATTGAATCTATCATTTTTCTTCCATGTTTCATCTACTTGCCAAGTGTATTCCCTAATTTTCTTATTCTCTAATTATTAATTTGTAGTTATTAATCCCTTACCATGTGTGTATTCCTCAGCAGCATATTGTTCACCTTTACTTGTTCTTGAGCTTTCTAAAAGTATCAGTCTTTGAGGTCTTTTTTCATTTGTGATGCTTGTAAGTCTCATGCAGTCATTATTGTTTTATAAAGTTGTCTTTTGAATATACCACAGAATTACAAGACTACTGGTCATTTGATTTGTTTTCAAGTTTTGTTGTGAAAAGTACTGCTACAAACATTTGTATACATTCTCCTGGTGCATATGTGCAAGTATTTAAAATGAGAAGTGTTTGAACTTTTTGACCACTATTCATAGCATAAGAAAGGCGATTGCTGTATTCAACCAGTAAACATGCTCACATATATGAAACAAAAGTTTCACAAAATAATGAAATGATATTTACCTCTTCAGTGTTTACAAAAATGCTAGTTATGACTCCCAGTTAACTGATCACAGAACACACAAGTGAGTGGTGACAAAAGCTTTGAAAAACACTGCAGGAGTAGGAATGGACTGCCCAGGAAAGCAGTCACTTAATCATAGGCAGCAAATGTTCACTTTACAAAATAAAGCTAAATTGTTTTCCAAAGAGATTGTTTATAATGTACATGGCTGCTAGGAGAGTGTAGAAGTTTTTAAAATCTCTGTCCTCATTAACCCTTGGTATTGTAGGACTGGGCTTCCCCGATAGCTCAGTTGGTAAAGAATCCGCCTGCAATGCAGGAGACCTTGGTTCAATTCCGCTGGAGAAGGGATAGACTACCCACTTAAGTATTCTTGGGCTTCCCTTGTGGCTCAGCTGGTAAAGAATCTGCCTGCAATGTGAGAGACCTGGGTTTGATCCCTGGGTTGGGAAGATCCCCTGGAGAAGGGAAAGGCTACCCATTCCAGTATTCTGGCCTGGAGAATTCCATGGACTGTAGAGTCCATGGGGTCACAAAGAGTTGGACCCAACTGAGCGACTTTCACATTCATTGTCTGATAAATTTTTCCAATATAGTGAATGTAAGTGGTATTGCAAAGAAATCTTAGTTGTCATTTTTTAAAAATACAGAATTTCTAAATTTTTGTTAAAGAAATGCAAATCAAAACCACAGCAAGATATTACCACACCCTGATAAGGATTATTGAGTTCAGTTCAGTCACTCAGTTGTGTCTGACTCTGCGACCCCATGGACTGCAGCATGCCAGGCCTCCCTGTCCATCACCAACTCCTGAAGTTTACTTAAACTCATGTCCATTGAGTAGGTGATGCCATCTGACTAGTCTCATCCTCTGTCATCCCCTTCTCCTGCCTTCAACCTTTCCCAGCATCAGGGTCTTTCAAAGGAGTCAGTTCTTTGCATCAGATGGCCGAAGTATTGGAGTTTTAGCTTCAGCATCAGTCCTTCCAATGAACACTCAGAACTGATCTCCTTTAGGATGGACTGGTTGGATCTCCTTGCAGTCCAAGAGACTCTCAAGGGTCTTCTCCAACACCACAGTTCAAAAGCATCAATTCTTTGGTGCTCAGCTTTCTTTATAGTCCAACTCTCACATCCATACACGACTAGTGGAAAAACCATAGCCTTGATTAGACGGACCTTTGTTGGCAAAGTAATGTCTCTGCTTTTTAATATGCTTTCTAGGTTGGTCATAACTTTCCTTCCAAGGAGTAAGCGTCTTTTAATATCATGGCTGCAATCACCATCTGCAGTGATTTTGGAGCCCCAAAACAAAGTCAGCCACTGTTTCCACTGTTTCCCCATCTATTTGCCATGAAGTGGTGGGACCACATGCCATGATCTTAGTTTTCTGAATGTTGAGCTTTAAGCCAACTTTTTCACTCTCCTCTTTCACTTTCATCAAGAGGTTTTTTAGTTCCTCTTCACTTTCTGCCCTAAGGGTGGTGTCACCTGCATATCTGAGGTTACTGATATTTCTCCTGGCAATCTTGATTCCAGCTTGAGCTTCACCCAGCCCAGCGTTTCTCATGATGTACTCTGCATATAAGTTAAACAAGCAGGGAGACAATACACAGCCTTGACGTACACCTTTTCCTATTTGGAACCAGTCTGTTGTTCCATGTCCAGTTTTAACTGTTGCTTCCTGACCTGCATACAGGTTTCTCAAGAGGCAGGTCAGGTGTTCTGGTATTCCCATCTCTTTCAGAATTTTCCACAGTTTATTGTGATCTGCACAGTCAAAGGCTTTGGCATAGTCAATAAAGCAGAAATAGATGTTTTTCTGGAACTCTCTTGCTTTTTTGATGATCCAGCAGATGTTGGCAATTTGATTTCTGGTTCTTCTGCCTTTTCTAAAACCAGCTTGAACATCTGGAAGTTCAAGGTTCATGTATTGCTGAAGCCTGGCTTGGAGAATTTTGAGCATTACTTTACTAGCATGTGAGAAGAGTGCAATTGTGTAGTAGTTTGAACATTCTTTGGCATTGTCTTTCTTAGGGATTGGAATGAAAACTGACCTTTTCCAGTCCTGTAGCCATGCTGAGTTTTCCAGATTTGCTGACATATTGAGTGCAGCATTTTACAGCATCATCTTTTAAGATTTGAAATAGCTCCACTGGAATTCCATCACCTCCACTAGCTTTGTTTGTAGTGATGCTTCCTAAGCCACACTTGACTTTGCATTCCAGGATGTCTGGCTCTATGTGAGTGATCACACCATTGTGATTTTGCCATGCAGCCGATAATGATGATTACTATCAAACAAACCCAAAAAGCAAAAACCAAAATAAGAAGTATTGGTGAGGACTTGAAGAATTGGAACCCTTGTGCACTGCTGGTGTGACTGTAAAATGGTGTAACTGCTAAGAAAACAGTATGACATTTCCTCAAAAAGTTTTAAATTGAATTACAATGTGATCCAGGAATTCTACTTCTGGGCCTATGCACAGAAATATTGACAGCTGGGTCTTGAACAGATATTTGCACACCTATGTTCATAGCAGCAATATTCACAATAGCCAAGAGGAGGAAGCAACCCAAATGTCCATGAACAGATGCATGGATAAACAAAATGTGGTATTTATGTACAAGACAATAGCATTCAGCTTTAAAAAAGGAAACCTGTCATATGCTGTGACAGGGATAAACTTTGAGGACATTATGCTAAGTGAAATAGGCCAGTCACAAAAAGACAAAAGACTATATGATTTCACTTATACAAGGTATATTAGTTTGTTAGGGCTGCCATAATAAAATACCACAGAGTGGGTGGCCTAAACCTCAGAAATTTATGTTCTACCCTTTTTGAGGCTGGAAGAATTTTTAAGTGCATCTTAGAAAAAAGCCTAGATAGCCTTGAAGAGATGGTTGGTAGAAAAAGAAGTAAAACATAATTCTGATGAATG